AGCTTATCGGAGTTTTCCAAGTCAAGACTACTGACATGAGAAAAAGTTTGCACGGAAACTAACAGTGAGCTTCTGTTCTCCAGGTTTCACGTACATCTACAGTGGAACCAACATGTTTGAGTACAGCCTGAGCAGCGGCACATTGTACCGTGTGCTGGGGAACAACTACTTCTTGAGATGCACTTCTAGAAGAGTTTAATACCTAGGTCATTTTATGTAGGCAATCTGAATGACAATGAAGGCACCAAAGTTAAACAGTGTCCATAATATATAATATATTTTTTCACGGTTATATACTGGATATATGCCCTTCTGAGAACAGCATCTAATGTTTTTTTAAATACTTTTATATTTTTGTGGTGTCAGCTACTGCTATTTTTTAAGTTAAGTTAATTAACTCTCTTTATAGCTTATCTTATTTATGTCACATGTTTTTGTCTTTAATGAAGTTTAACTATGGAACTCTGGAATGTGTTACATAAATTAATTTTTATTTCATTTAATTGCATATGTCAACACAGATTTGTAATGTGAAGGAGTGAATATAAACACAATAAACTATAGTGCTTGTACATTGTCTCAACAACACTAACATTTTTTATTTCTTGGAATATGTGATAAAGGACATATAAAACACAATTTGATTCCCCTTTTATATCCATGCACCCTTGAACGTGCATGCCCCAAGGTCATGGCTTAGTGCAGGTCTAAGCCCACGTTGGGGAGAAAGGAAGGAAGAAAGAAAGACCAAACAAAGTTACTACTGCTTAGTCAAATATATTGTCCACTTAAATTTAGTAGTGCAGAGCAGTAGTGTAGATACTTTTTTTATTGATAGAAAAAAGACAAATGCAGTATTATACAGTATCTGTAATGTATTATAGAAGTCTGAAGGAAGAACCTAAATGTGTGAGAAACAAACAGATACAACTGGTAATGCTATACAGATGTCAAGATTCACACACACGCTAATACCTAACTGTACTGACAATTCAGCATATACAGTGTCAAAAGTGAGTACAGCCCTTACATTTTTGTAAATAATTGATTATATCTTTTCATGTGACAACACTGAAGAAATGACACTTTGCTACAATATAAAGTAGTGAGTGTACAGCTTGTATAACAGTGTAAATTTGCTGTCCCCTCAAAATAACACATCACACAGCCATTAATGTCTAAACTGCTGGCAACCAAAGTGAGTACACCCCTAAGTGAAAATGTCCAAATTGGTCCCAATTAGCCATTTTCCCTCCCCAGTGTCATGTGACTCGTTAGTGTTACAAAATCTCAGGTGTGAATGGGGAGCAGGTGTGTTAAATTTGGTGTCATCGCTCTCACACTCCCTCATACTGGTCACTGGAAGTTTAACATGGCACCTCATGGCAAAGCACTCTCTGAGGATCTGAAAAAAGAACGGTTGCGCTACATAAAGATGTCCTGGGCTATAAGAAGATTGCCAAGACCCTGAAACTGAGCTGCAGCATGGTGGACCATAATGCGGTTCAACAGGACAGGTTCCACTCAGAACAGGCCTCGCCATGGTCGACCAAAGAAGTTGACTGCACGTGCTCAGCGTCACATCCAGAGGTTGTCTTTGGAAAATAGACGTATGAGTGCTGCCAGTATTGCTGCAGAGGTTGAAGGGGTTGAGGGTCAGCCTCTTCTAAAGATGATGCACAAGAAAGCCCGCAAACAGTTTGCTGAAGACAAGCAGACTAAGAACATGGATCACTGGAACCATGTCCTGTGGTCTGATTTTAGTTAAGCATTTTTATTAGCTATTGGAGATCAGTTATTTATTCGGGTGCGCACATTTAGTTAACTTGTCAATTTTGCTAATATTAGGTTCATTATCTTTAACTTTGAATTCCATTCTATGAAATTAATACTTTTTTCTGGAGTTACCAGTTCCTGCTGCTGGGGATCTCTGGTTGACTGGCAAAAGGACTACCAGCTGAATCTGACCTGTTTAAGTAGGGCGAATGGATGAATGGAATGCACGATGTTCTCCTACATCATGATTCAGTCTTGCTAGGTCTTTTTAGGTTGGTGTTGTTCAGTTCATGTTGTGGTTATGTAGCCTAAGTTCTGTTTAGCTGACCTCATCCCCCTGAAAATTTTGAGAATCAAACACTTAATTTCCTGCATTCTGGTGAAAATTTCAGCACCAATTTCTGCCTTTTTTACGTCAATTTATTGTGGAAAAGTATGGATTTACATAAAGGGAAACACAAAATTCATGCCACAGGTGAAAATTCAAAATATAAAAAGTGTTTAGGATATAATGCAGAAAGGCTTTCAGGCATTCTGTAGCTATTGCCTTTAAATATGTTTTCTTCTGCAGATCAACTTTTCTCATTCAATAAAATACCTGCTAAGTCAGCACACATATTTATTTTTTCATCTGTTGTGTCTTTTCTTTGGGGAAGTTTAACCACTTTAAGTGTACAGACCTGGCACCTTTTCACACCAATGATTAATTATTTCATTTTAATAATTATTATTAACAATGTTCAAAATTTTCTACAAATTCAGAATCTCTCCTACATCTGTGTTCTCTGACATGTCCAGAAAAAAGTCTTCTTACGTCATCATTTAATTAGAATATATATAATATTTTGCCTGCCCTACTCTGTGCATTAGCCTGTGTTACTGCTCGGCTGATACAGTCAGACCGTCTTACAGACAAAAAACTGAATGAGACAAGAAGGTGAAAAAACTATGCAGAAAAAAAACAAAAATTTAAACTAACTGAAACACTTGTGATCAGGCAGAAATTGCAACACAAATCCACACAAATGTTAACTTCACCAGCTCAGACAAAGTGCAGTTTGCAAGTTTGCACCTCAGTTAGCAAGTATGAGCTAACCGGAGCTAACCTCTGTCGCTCCTTGTTTACTTCTGTATGACTGCGTGCTGTATGTGACGTCGTTTTATTCTTCTGTGCGTGTGGGTCACTTTCAGGCCGTGAACAGTACATACTGGAGTCTGATATGGGCCACATTTAAACAGTAATGTGAACTGTCAAACCAAAAAATCTGGGGAAAAATTGGAATTGAGCTTTAAAGCCTGCGCTGTGAACGAAGCCTATGTCACAATCTGGCTGTGACTCACAGCACAGAGTTGGGTGCACTTGGTTACTATCTCAGCATTCGCTGGTGTCGCATCAGCTGGGCAGAGTTGATTCGCATCAAGTCTAAAATATTGCTGCCAACTGGAGTTAGAAGATGATGAAGAGGCTGATAACCAGGTCAGCTGTGACAGTTGTAGGAGACCAGCATAAACTTTCTGGGTGAGCTTGGATTTTGTCCAGCACACCTAGTGTTCTATTTCATATGGGCTTTGAGAAGCACTGAGAAAAGTTGTCTTTGCCCACACAAACAGTTTCAAGACTTACCAAGACCTTCGTGATGATACTGCCCAATCCTTCTCTGATCCGACAAGTGGAAATCCTTCTGCAGATGATTACCTGAAAGAGGAACAGAAAATACAACAACAAGCACAGAAGGACAGCTTTGGTGAGGACCTGGCTTGTGTCCAATCACATAAACCACTGCAGCCCCAAAGCCACTTACTCTGTCTGTCCCCTGAACTCAGCAGTACCTCGGAACTCATACATGTTGGAGGCAGGTTGCGGCAAAGCAATCAACAAGAATCTGAGTCAGTCCATCCAATTGTACTTGATCCTGCTCATCATGTGACTAAATTGATCATCCAGGACTATGATGAAAAAAATCAGAAAGGCTCTTCGCTGAAATACGGCAGAAGTTTTGGATATTGAGAGGACGCCGACATCAACGGTACTGTGCATCATGTCAAAGGTGGAGAGCGAAACCAAGCATCCTAAAGACGGCTGATCTGCCTGCTGCTCACCTAAAACCTCCCTTCTACTCTACTCTAGTGTCAAGATCGGCCGTCTATCTGAAAAGCGGTGGGGCGTAATATTCAAATGCCTCACAACCCAATGTGTACACCTTGATCTTCTCAATAACATGGATACTGACTCTTTCCTCATGGCCCTTCAACGATTCACTTCTCGGAGAGGCACACCCTTTGAGATCTTATGTGATCAAGGTACCAACTTCAAAAGGAGGAAGCAAAGAATTACAGGAAGCCTTCAATAACCTTTCCCCCTCTCTCAAGTCACTACTGGCAACAAGGAAAATCCATTTCCGTTTCAACCCTCCACACGCACCCACTTTGGTGGCATCTGGGAGCGTGAGATACGCTCTGTCAAGAATGCTCTGAAGGCAACCATTGGTGCACAAATGGTCACTGAAGAGGTTCTGAGGACAGTGTTGACTGAGATTGAAGGAATTCTTAATTCAAAACCACATGGATATGTGTCTTCGGATATCGCAGATGTGGATCCAGTCAACCCCAATCTTCTTATCATGGGACGACAAGATGCATCACTCCCTGTAGTGTCCTACCCTGATTCTGATCTCCTTGGCCGAAGACGTTGGCGCCATGTACAAAGATTAGCTGATCATTTCTGGAAACACTCCAAAACTGGCACAAATGGCAAAAGGACAGTCCAAATCTGCAGTTAAACACTATTGTGATGATTGTCGATTCTTTGCTACCAAGATCTCTGTGGCCTATAGGAAAAGTAACCCGCCTCCTACACAGCAAAGACGGCCGCACCAGGAAAGCTGAAGTCACAGTTAAAGATAAACCCTATATTAGACCTGTGGCTCACCTGATCCCACTTCCTGCCCTGCCTGATGACACCCCTTAATTATGGTTGGGTATATTCTCTCGCATTTCTCACTAGAAATTCGGGGGCGGCTGTAGTAAAGATCCTCAATTTATCTTTATTTTTATTCACTTCCTTTAGTTCCTGTTCTTATCACTGATTGGCTCCCGCTTTCACCTTTCATTCCTCCTAACTGACTTGATTGAGTTCACCTGTTCACACTATTTAAGGACTGCACTCCCTTTCACTTCCACATGGGGCGACAGTTCTGATTGAACAACTTATGTGAGCCTTTTTTTCCTTGTTATGTTGACAAATGCATCTTGCTTGACAAATGCTTTTAAGATGATGCAAAAATGATTCATACTGACTCACAAAGATAACCCAGTTGTTACAGATGTTAAGTTGTTGTTACGTGGTTGGTAAGTAAAGTTGTACAGCATGATGAGCAATCTGTGGCATCTACAAATACTCCATAACCTGTTGGAATGGACACGACACAGCTCGTCTGTGTTTGCTCTCTTGTCACTTGCCTCGTCTTATCAGTTGCAACAGTAGCCTGAGGGTTAGAAAAGGCAGTTTGTGAGTAAGGATCTTTGAATTTATGACAGACAGCCTTAAAAACCTAAGTAGTGATATCACAATATCGCTCAGAATATAACCGTAAGCAAGTCATGAAGAAATCAGCAAATATGTTTACAATAAAATATTAAAATAAAACAAATGTATGTATGAATATAAAGCAAAGCACCGATAAAGTAAATGACTGGCATTCTCATATTTGTTATGTTTCTTTTGTCAGATAAGATTATTGGTATTTTAACTTATTTTATTACTTATCCAGTTAATGCCTCAAAGATCAATATTTGATCTTAAAATCTGTTGTTTCTGAATGTACATGCCATGTGTCATGTCATGATAACAGTCTTGTTTTGGGGATTTTTTTCAGCTTGGTGGCTGATCCATAAATGGATAGATTGAGTCACTGAGTCAAGAAGGTAGTTGCTCAATATGCCCACTCCCCAACACAGCCGTTCCTCAGCCTATATAACAACTGACTCCAGCACAGAAACACAAGTTGCTGTGCAAGATGAACGTTTTGCAGAGGTAAGTGTTTGCTTTGTCTTCTCATGCATTTAAAATGTGGTAAAGATGTGCTTTTTGGAAACCTTCATTGTGCAAATCCTAAACATTACCACACCATTACTGACATCAAGTTATTAAATTCTCATCTTCTTTTGCAGAGCTACCTGAAGAAATTCTTCAACCTAACAGAGGAGACAGGTCCATCTAGCAGACGGGGGATCAGCCCGGTGAGCAGGAAGCTGAGTGACATGCAGCGATTCTTTGGTCTCCAGATCACTGGGAGGCTGGATGCTGATACCTTAGAGATGATGAAGAAGCCCCGCTGTGGCGTTCCAGACGGCAACATTGCCAGTTTCTCCACTTTTGGAGAAAACCTCAAGTGGACTAAGAACAGCCTCACCTACAGGTGAATGATCTGAAGAGAGAAAGTGTGTGAAACAGTAATTGTAGGAAGTCTATCAAATAATGTTTTTGACTATTTTTCTGTCCTACAGGATAGAGATGCATGGTGATTATTACCCCTTTGATGGTCCTGATGGCACTCTTTCCCATGCCTTCACTCCAGCGCCTGGAATTGGAGGAGATGCTCATTTTGATGAAGATGAGAGGTTCACTTTCACCTCAAACAATGGTGATTTTGTTATTTATACCCTGCGTGGGACAGTGGTGGAAAGTAATTGTGGACATTTACTCCAGTGTTCTTGATGTAGTAGTTTTCCGCCACTACATTTTTTTCAGTTGTAACTATAGTTGTAGTTAGTAGTAACTCCTCAGATTTAGATTTTATATAAAAAATATGATTTAATTGAATTTGTTCCAAACCTTTCTGGCTTTAAATGTGTTGCTGGGGCTTCTTGTCATGTTTCAGAAGTGTGTGAGTTGTTGAAAGTTTCACCAAAGAAACATTTCCCCCCTAAATGTTTGATGTGGTTTCATTTAAATAACTGTTTAAATTATATATACTATAACTATATTTCAGAAAAAAGATCAGAGAAGAGTCCAAGAGATGAATACATCTTTGTGAATCAGCTTAATATGATAAAGCATCAGATCAGATGGTTGGAAACCATTGGACTAAACTATATAACTGTAATTAGTAGTAGTTGAATCTAGTAGTTAAAAGCAGTAAAAACTAGCTCCCCCTCAAACAGAGACAAGAGTAAAATGCTGTTTACACATTTATGCTAAATCTAATAATGTTATATATAATAATATCCATCACAGGTGACGTTTTTCTGCTGATGTAGTGCTTTTATTTTTAATTCTGTATATTTACGTAATACAGGACTTCTATTTGTACTGGAGTTTTTCTTAACTGTGGTTTTGGTACTTTGACTCTGTGTCCTTCTTCCTACACTGCCATGTGAGAACATTTTAAAGACAAAACTCCATTGTGTGTACTTTGACATGAAAAATTGGTCTTCATCCAGAACAATTCTACCTGTACCTGTTTCTGCTGTAGGCTACATCCTCTTCATGGTGGCTGCCCATGAGTTTGGCCACTCCCTGGGCTTGTCTCACTCTGATGATCCCGGTGCTCTCATGTACCCAATGTACTCACACAGAAACCCCCAGAAACACCTTTGTTCTTCCCCGGGATGATGTCAATGGCATTCAGTCTCTCTATGGTCAGTACTAACTGGCTGGATCATCCGTGCCTGTTTGCACAAATAGCTAATAACATGACCAGAATCCTTGAAAAGGCTCCTGCACAATCTTGGATAATGTCACACAACTTTGTTGCAATGAGATGCTGACTTTCTTTAACCTCCAAGTCCAAACCCAGACAAGGATCCTTTTAAGCCTGAACCTGAGCCTCCAACCACCCCTGATGCCTGTGATCCAACCATGGTCTTGGACGCTGTCGCCACCCAGCGAGGAGAGCTTTCCAGCACAGAGGTGATTAAAGTCAAGTCTACTAACAGGAGATATTCACTTTTCTAACAAATGGATGAATGCTGAGAGTTACATCAATAGATGAAATCAATACTACTCTTATGACCATTTTGCACGTAAAAATACAACAAAACACATACAATTGACATAAATAAATAAAGGAGAAAGGTATATAAATATGGAATAAGCAAATGCAAGTTATAGAATAATAAAATAATAGAGAAAAGTAATACCTATTTGCAGAGAGAAGTAGTAGTAGTTGTCTGGTAAGAATAGATAGAGGACCACATGTGCTGTATTATTTGCACAAGAGTGTGTCGGCCACCGTAGCTTCTCCTATGCACTAGCAAAGGGAGGGGTAAGCGATGAGTGGAACGTTGGTTAAAATTCGCAACCCTCACCACTAGATGCCACTAAAACTTACACACTGAACCTTTAAAGGGTATTTTTGGTATTTTTAAGCCTGGGCCGTATTTTCACATATTTTGATGATGAAATGACTAGAAATACTTTTTGGACTCCGTAATACTTAATGCTAAGCTAAACTGGCTCCAACTTCATATTAAACAGACAGATATGAGGGTGTATTGATCTTCTCATCTAACCTGGCAAGGTAGCGTATGAGTGTATTATCCAAAATTCTGAACTATTCCTTTAACTAGCACAGGAACTAACATTGAGTCTCTGTTCTGCAGGTTTTGCTTACATCTACAGTGGACCCTACATGTTTAAGTACAGCCTGAGGACAGGGAGGTTGTATCGTGCGCTGAGGAACAGCTACTTCTTGCGCTGCACTAACTTCTAGGCCAGTTTACTAGCTAAGTTGTTTATGTAGCCACTCTGAATGAATGGACACTAACAGTGTTCAAATAGTACATTTACATATTTCTATTATTCTAAATATTATATTTTCTACATTTAGTTATATCAAATGTATTTAGATGTGTTCCCATACAGCATTCAAAGTATATATATAAATATAGTAAAATGTGAAATTATTTTTATACTCTATATTGTCTACATGTCTGTATTGTATACTGCAACATTGATGCTGTGTATGACACTTTTCAGTCATCCTGGAAATTGGATATTTAGTAAAAAATTAAATCTGAGAGGCTTCTACTGTCAGGAGATTCTTGATTATCCCTCTGATTAGTAATGAAACATTTTGAGGACAGCAAGTCCATTACTATTACATTATTATTGATGACCTGGAAAGCTTTGCACTCCATCAATAAATGCATCAAACTATGAAGCAATTCATACAAGCAGTCAACATCACAAAGATCAATGTCTAGTGAGTGCACTGATTTTGCCGTTATTGAAGTTCATGCTTACAGTAAAGTATACAGTACTAAAGTGCCTTCTCATTTGTCCTCTAGTTGAACAAACAATACCCCATAATGACAACGTGAAAGAAGTTTCTTTGAAATCTTAAATATAAGAGGCAGAACGAAAAAGGCCCATGTACATAAGTATTTACAGCCTTTGCTCAATACTTTGTTGAAGCACTTTTGGCACCAATTACAGCCTCAAGTCTTTTTGAGTATGATGCTACAAGCTTAGCAGTCCTGGGCTCTGGCTGGGCCACTCAAGGACATTCTCAGAGTTGTCCTGTAGCCACTCCTTTGTTATCTTGGCTGTGTGCTTAGGGTCATTGTCCTGTTGGAAAATGAACCTTTGCCCTAGTCTGAGGTCCCAAACTCTCTGAAGGAGGTTTCCTCTGTACATTGCTGTACATTCATCTTTCCCTCAATCCTGACCAGTCTCCCAGTTCCTGCCGCTGAAAAACATCCCCACAGCATGATGCTGCCACCACCGTGCTTCACTGTAGGGATGATATTGGCCAGGTGATGAACGGTGCTCCAGGCGGGCTGTCATGTACCTTTTACTGAGGAGTGGCTTCTGTCTGGCCGCTCTACCATAGAGGCCTAATTGGTTAAGTGCTGCAGAGAGGGTTGTTCTTCTGGAAGGTTCTCCTCTCTCCACAGAGACAAGCTGGAGCTCTGTCAGAGTGACCATCGGGTTCTTGGTCACCTCCCTAAGGCCCTTCTCCCCAGATCGCTCAGCTCTAGAAGAGTCCTGGTGGTTCCAAACTTTTTCCATTTAAGGATGATGGAGGCCACTGTGCTGTAGAAATCTTTTTGTACCCTTCCCCAGATCTGTGCCTTGACACAATCCTGTCTCGGAGGTGTACAGACAATTCCTTGGACTTCACAGCTTGGTTTGTTGCTCTGACATGCACTGTTAACTGTGGGACCTTATATAGACAGGTGTGTGCCTTTCCAAATCATGTCCAATCAACTGAATTTACCACAGGTAAACTCCATCAAGTTGTAGAAACCAAAGATTATCAGTGGAATCAGGATGCACTTGAGCTCAATTTTGAGTGTCATGGCAAAGGCTGTGAATACTTATGTACGTGTGCTTTTTTTGTTTTTTCTTTTTAATAAATTTGCAAAGATTTCAAACAAACTTCTTTCAAATGTCATTATGGGGTATTATTTGTAGAATACAACAATTCATTTCCAGCTAGCCCTGGTTTGTAACCAGTTCAAACTTCATTTTGTGCTCGCATGGCTCCCTCTATTGATTTCTTCGCTTACTACATCCACTGATGCGTCATCTCCCACATCAGTATTAGTGTATTAAAATATGTTCATTGAAAAGGTTGTAGAAGTATGCAAGTCACTTTTGATAAGCAACACAGTCAAAGCTGATAATCAGACTGTGGTTGCACCGTTCTCTGCTTTTTATACTTCATGACCAAAACACTGAAATGGACTGTGTCAGCAAATACCCAGCTGCATTCCAACTCTACATATGAGCAGAGCCTGATAGGAAGAATAATATACCTGGAGTTATTCCTTCTTCTCTGCAGTAGAAATAAAGAAATCCTGGGAGGTGCGCTGGCTGTTTAAACTGTGATGATAGTTGTGAGACTGTGGAGCTGTGCTCACCACTTCAGCCAGCCAAGAAGAGCTCTAAAGCTCAAAAATAAACATAATATAATATTAAATTGAAATATTGCACAATTGTTGGTGTTAACATATATTTTACATATTATGGAGAGAAGAGAAATCAAATTTTCTGTCATTCTATAAGATCCATACTCTTTCAACCTTGTCAAACAATTATGTTCCACCCTTTTTAAAAGTTGTAATATGAAAAGGAAAAATGTACTTCCCATTTTCAGAAATATTAATTTCCTACCAAAGCCTATATAGTCATTTAAAGTCAGTTTTATGGCATTAAAAATTGGTTGTACTTTAATAATACCTACTAAATATACCATGGTCTCCTCTGGAAAGGAAAAACACCTGTATAGTTTAAAACTGCCTGTTGAGTGCCTCTAAACGTGAGACACCAAGTCTGGAAGTATGCCTGCCTGTGTTGCACATTATACCAGACACTTTGGCTCAGCTTGATGCACAGAACTGAACATCAATAAATCACTTATTGGTTTGGTTTAGGTTTAGGCTTAGTTTGGTTTTCCACTGGGTGGAGAGATTATATCTCCACACTGGCCTGGGAACGCCTTGGGATCCCCCAAAAAATTTGGGTCCCCTGCTGGAGCTGCTGCCCCCACGACCAGATAAGCGGATGAAGATGGATTGATGGATGGTTTGGTTTGTTGTATGTTAGCAGAAATGTTTCCAATGATGAACAATCTGAACCAGCCAACAAGCATTACATTTAATTACAGATTTTCAGCAAAGAAAATGCCCTGTCACATTTTCATTAGATATGGTGTTTTTGTACAAGCTCATACATCGGCCAGATTTCAAACAACGATGAGATTTCATATTGGGAGGAAAATGATAATCTTGCAACCTACTGCTCAACGTCAGCAAAGCTAAGGAGCTGATCACTGATTTCAGGAAAAGGAGGTAAAGACACACACGGATTGTTGGTACCCATCTCCAGAGCATCAGTGATATCGGTGAGGTGAGGTGCCTACGCAGAGCCCAAAGGACACTAAAGGACAGTTCCCACCCAGCCACAGCCTGAGTTACAAACTCAATTTCACTCTATAACCTGCTGTATTGTGACAAAAAAATCTATCTACCTTCCTACTCAAAAGTACATTTCCAGATATGCTGGATATTAATGTGAGTGATTACTGCTTGTCTATAATGCCAACTATTGATCTAACACAGTAAGTACCAGCTATTCAAAATGATAGTTAGAAAAAGTGTAAAGAAAGTTAACTTGACTAAATTTAAATTATTATCCTTAAGATTTCGCCCGTGATCACCGGTGGTAGGAACAAGTGTGGTTTAATACTGCAGGTCCCAAAAACAGAAGATCAGCTAGTGTATCTGATTACAGCACAGCCCCTAATTGGCCTTTTACAATCATGTCGTGAACAACCTCCAATGATTTCAGTGCAAGTACTTTTCCACATAACAGCAGGAAATAAAATTTGTTACTTGGCTGAAGAGATCTAACAACAGTGTGGCTGCTCCTGACTGTTCCATTACCCCCTGAGATATTTCAAATTGAACCACTGAGAAATGCTGATAAAGACTGCTGTCTTGTTTTGGACAAGCATTTTTAATGAATGAGCATTGTTAGTGACACATTAATAAAAGGCAACACGTGTCTCGCCAGTTGAAAACTTTCAATGTGAGGCAGCAGCAGTAGAAAATGTTTGTTTAGTATTAGCATCTTAATCCATCTGTGACACAGCTGTAGGAGAGTGAACAGTAAACAGGGTGATTCATGTGTTCTGAGTCGAGGGTGATTCCAGTGCAGAAACTAACAATGAAAATAACTATATAGAAAAGAAATTACACAAATCTAAAATTGGGTTTGATTTAATGGAAATCTTGTTTTAGGATATAAGTTTGAATTAAATTACAATTTTAAAATGATCTTTTTCACTTATCTTTTCTGCATTTCTGCATTTAAATAACTAAATTACTAATCAGTCAAATTAAACATATATAAAGTCTTATCTGTATGTTAGAATTGTTCATTCCTGTTTTCTTTATCCCGGACTATCTGTCTCAGTTTTTCTCTGATGTGTCAGAGACCCAGGCAGTGTCTGGAGCTGCTCTATAGATTCGTTTGAAGACAAATGCAGGATATATTTGGCCTGGAGGTGACAGGGCAGTTGGACTCCAATACCCTGGAAGTGATGGCTCACCCCGCTGTGGTTTCACAGATGTGACCAGATGTGGCCACTTTGACGTCAGTGGGACAAGACTATGATCACATAAAGGTTCTACACATGATCTCCATGTCTAAACAAAACCAAGGTGGTAATTGCTCAACATGTCTTGTCCTCAGCCTATATAACTGCTTCCTCCAGCACAGTGCATGTGGAAACTTTAAAGTTTTAGGAATTCTGAATGTTATGTTGTTATAGACAATGGAAAAAATCTAGCAGCTGCTTAATCTCTGCTGTAACCAGCTATATATAAAATATGAGTGTATTATGTACGTTCTACTACAGAGCACACAATTTCAGACACACAGTGTCAGGAACAATCCCTGTATAATAACCTACTAACATCTACCTGTACTATTTATTATTATTTATTCTTCATCTGTGTAAGTCAGCAGCTGTTCATATTGTTTATGCTATATATCATATACACTTACCTCATGTATATAATGTGTGTGTGTGTGTGTGTAATACTCTGTGTCTGTTTTTTGTAGAGATTTTTTTGGTTTATACGTGTTCTATGTATGTACATCGAGAGCAATGTAAGACCGGAGTCAAATTCCTCATATGTGTACACATACCTGGCCATTAAAGCTGATTCATGTTCTGATTCTCAAAGCTTGACATAAATATGTTCTTGCTAACAGCACGTGGAGATTGTTACCCCTTTGATGGCCCTTCACTTTCTGTTCAAATGGATGAGCGACTGCCTTGACAAGTTGGGTTAAGAAAGAGAAGGGACAGGATACTCTAGGCCTCTAGCAGGCAGCAACTAAAAGATTTATCTAATATCAGGTATACTGATGGTTTCCCAGACGGTTTACAAATGGTGAATCAGTCTAATTACTGTCTGTGTTTCTTCAGTAATGATGAGGCCAAAAAGGCTATGGACCCGGGATTCCCCAGGAGTTTGGATCAGGCCTTCTCCGGCCTGACCAGCAAGGTGACTGCAGCTTTT